GAGATAAAACTCTTTCCTTAGTCAAAGAACATTTTTTCTGGCCACTTCTTCCCAGAGACGTTGATCGTTTTGTAAAGCGGTGTCGAGTATGTGCCATAGCAAAATCTCGCAGCCAAAAATTGGGACTATACACTCCACTACCTGTCCCCAAAGGCCCTTGGATTGATGTGAGCTTAGATTTTGTGCTAGGCCTTCCCCGAACGCAAAGGAACAAGGATTCCATCATGGTGGTTGTGGACCGATTCTCCAAAATGGCCCACTTTGTGCCATGCAACAAGACTCTTGATGCCACTCATGTCGCCGACTTATACTTCAAAGAAGTGGTGCGTTTGCACGGTATTCCCAAGACCATCACGTCGGATCGCGACGTCAAATTCCTTAGTCACTTTTGGAAGACCTTATGGGGTAAGCTGGGAACCAAGCTCCAATTCAGCTCGACGGCACACCCGCAAACGGACGGCCAAACCGAAACCGTTAACAGGAGTCTTGGCAATCTTCTTAGATGCTTTGTGGGAAAGAATTTAAGGCAGTGGGATCTTATATTACCACAAATTGAATTTGCATTTAATCGTTCCACTAATCAAGATACCGGTCACAGTCCGTTCCAAATAGTTTATGGTAATAATCCTTTGTCTCCTCTTGATCTCATGCCTCAGGTGCCGGTCACTCAATATAGCACGGATGGAGATCAACGGTACCAAGAAATTCAGCAACTTCACAAAAATGTTCGAGAGCTTATTCACAAGCATAACAGAAAATGTCAAGAATCGGCTAACAAAACCCGCAAAGCAGTCAAATTTGAAGAAGGAGACAAAGTGTGGATACGCCTACGCAAAGAGAGATTCCCACCAGGAGCTTTCGGAAAACTGAAGCCAAAAGCAGACGGACCATTCCGAATTGTCAAAAAAATAAGCGACAACGCTTATCAAATTGAGCTCCCAGGCGATTACAACGTATCCGCTACTTTCAATGTAGCCGATCTATCCCCATACTACGAACCTGAAGTTCCTCCTACCCCGGTAGATTGACGCCGGAGCTATGTGTTGTATTAAGTTTTTAAATTCTTTTATATAACTTCAGGTTCATGTACTGTAGCACCAATTTTTTCTTTAGTTTGTTATCTCTCGTCTATGGCCTACTCTGTGGCCTGTTTTGTGTATAAATAAATGACTTATGGATTAATAAAGGGGAGATGGTTTTAGTGCAAATTTAGAATTCTTTTTTCTGGAATTTGTTCTGTATCCTGACAAACGTCAGGTGGTGGTGTTCTTGTTCCTTCGGCGTTGGTCCCAGAGGTTGGGCCCATCCTCTCGTGACGAGTAGACACTGTCTCTGTCGTCTATCTCGTCTCCGATTCTTGCCGCGACTGCTTCAGCCCCAAGTCCGGTGTCATGTGTGAAATAAGAAAAAAAAGAGAAAAAACCCTTGTGCTCAGTGACATTTTGTGTATGAAGTTCTAACCCTTTGTGGTGACTAGTTATCTACATTTCATTCTTAGGATAAAATAAAGTTTACTATCAACTTTACAAGTTGAGCTTATTGATTTAAGAGTTCGAACCAATATTCTAACTGGTATGTTAAACAAGTTCGAGCTCAACCTAGTTCAATTCGAAAGCGCATTGAGTTGTTCTATTAACTTAAAATATGTTCAAAAATTAATTTAAAATAACAATATATAATATATTTAACATTTTAAAATTAATTCTATATTAAAAAAATTAAAAATCTTAATTTAATACTAAGAAATCTAAATCAAAAGTCAAGTCAAGCACCTCGAGCTTACAAAACAAGCTCAAGCAATCAAATTGAGCTTGACTCTTTAAATTTTTTTACGAGTCAAGTTTGAGCTTGTGTTCAACAAGAATTAAACAAACTTAACTCGATTAAGCATATACTGAACTCGACTTATTACACCACTAGCTATAAATATATATACACCATGTTATAACATCTCATTTTTCTGTATCAAATATCTTAATAAAAATACATCAGAATAAAAGGATATAATTTGATAGTCATTAGGAACCATTTTCTTCATACGATAAACTTAAACCTTCAGTAATTTACACTGAATATCTTATTAATTATTACAATCAACTTTCTTCTTTGTCAGGGCATATTTATACTCGCATACATCGATACAATTTATTATCTTATCAGTTGATCTTACTGCAGTTGAGTCTGATCTCTCCCGCAGTTCCAGTAAGAGGACTTATATTACCCATTTTAATTATGGCTTTAGTAAAATTCATGAAGAAATTGGCAGTGTTATTCGCATAGGTACTGACTTGAGAATCAGTAGACTTGCCATTGTAGAGCTCTTGATCAGAATGCAAAAGGCCCTTCTCACTTAGCAAATTTCTGTAGTAATAATTGTCAAAGATGGTTGAAGTAACAGTATCAAGAGGGGCCAGGTTGCTGTCATTGCTGCTGGAGGTAGAGCAGTTGGCTCGTAAGGATAAAGCAAATGAAGCATTAATGTTGGTGTCGTTGTATATTCGATTTCTAAATGTGATGCACCTTGCTTGCCCTATTGTATGTGCCCCTACGAATCATAAAAAAAATTTGTTAAGGAAATGTCATTTTTATGTTTCAATGACTCTCTATTTTGTTCACTTTAGTGGTTTATTAATGTCATGCCATCTACATAATATATGTAGCAATTATCACTTCTTTGGTGATAATTATTTGGAGAGTATTTGATCAAGTTAATAATGATTTTTCTTAAAACTATTGGCATAGATTTTATTGTAAATAAGAATGGTAAGTGAACATCGTATATTCTTGTTTTTCATGTAAGAAAATCCTACACACCTCATTCTAGTTTGTTAGTTGGGAGCTTTGGCTACCAACCGAGAGGATTTTTGTTCGAGTTTTGCATATGTGATGTGTGTGTGAATTTGCTTTAATTGATCTAAATGTCCCAAAAATAAGGTAAGAGAATCCTTAGGCCATCTCCAACCAAACTCCAAACGCATGAATGGCTTCGCTCGCTAGCTCCAGCGGAATGGCAAAACTTCCGGTATTTGGTTACGGGTGAACAGTGCGACGCCAATATTGGCGTTGCACTTTTCACCTGCTTTATTTTTCTGTCTCTACCAAATTTATCTAAGAAACGCTTGAAGGAGAGAGACAGTTACATTCTGCAAATGGCGCAAAATGGAGTTTGATTGGAGATGAATTATGCTATTTTCTAGTTTCGCTGCATTTCGGAGTGAAGAATGAGATTTTCGGTTGAAGATGCCCTTATAAAACAAACTGGAAACAGCAAACGACCAACGGCCAAATAGGCGTAAAAGCAAACATACCAGTTTTGTAACTAAAATATGTATCTATAAATTAGGGTTTAGGAACAAGATTAGGTATTGACATCTAATTCCTAATCACCTGAAATATCATACATAACCTAAATACTAAAATTAACTATGATTGAGTAATTACCTGATAGTGCTACCATGTTATTAACACTCAGATTCTTTTTAGAGAAAGCTGATTCGAGGGCGCTGAGATTAAGTTGTGGCCCAGGTAAATCTGTATTCGCCTGGCTTAAATTTGCAGTTAATGAATCCCTTCTTCCAAGTAACACATCCCAATAAGGCCCTCCTAACTGATCATACAAAACATAAGAAGGTCCCAATTTTGTAAGTTTATAAATCCATATATATAAAGAGAGAGAGAGAGAGAGATTTTAAAATTGGCTTCAACGTTCTTAAATTTTTATTAAGATTAGTATATTTCAAAATATAATAAACAGTACTATTTTTGCATAAATTAAAAAATTCCGAGGAACGATATTTTTTTTTTTTTAAACATAGAATTGCTAAAAATACTATTAGAATAAAATAATGATCAAATACAAAAATTTGAATTTTTTTACTTTTAATTTAGAATACAAAAATGACTTACTGCAACTACGGAGTCACGAGCAGCAACTGCTACAATATCAGCGCATGATACTACTTGCTTACAAGCACTTTCAACATTTGCTTTGATTGTATTGATCACATCGAAACCTCTCACAGAATTATTGTTTGGTAAAGCTGTCTTCTCACCAGTGAAGGTAGGAGTGTCATCTAATAGAATAGAACCATCACAACCCTGTCATTTCAAACATAGAGTTAGCTGTGTTTCAGCCCTGGAGTAAAGCATTTCAATTACGTACGTGCGTTATTTTTAAAGAAATAATTTAATTTTTGTAAGACTATTTGATTCTTCTAACTTCTATAGCTGAAATTTGAAGAATCAAATAGGTAAAAATTATGACTTTATTTGGGATGACTTTCTCACTGCTTCTTAAAACAGCTTTTTAAAACTAGAAAGCTGATTTAAAAAGCAGGAAGAAAGCCGTCTAAGCAAAGCATATAGTAGTGTAAAAAGACTGGATTGTTGAATCACAAAATGCTTAAAAAATAAGTTGAATATCTTTTCCTTAAATTGAAACGAATCTATATGCATTTTGTGTATAAATCATTTAGATGTGCAGAAATAAGTTTCTGTTTGCTTGCATGGCGTGATGAGTCTAAAATATTTAAATAAAAAAATTAAAATCCAACACAAATGAATTTCGAGAAAGATAACTACGAAACATAGAAGAAGAAAAAAAAAAAAAAGAGATATCTGTGCTTAAGGTTTAAGAGACATGCTTGAACGAAACAGTCATGAAATTGAAGGCGGAGTAGCGAAGCTCCCATGCGTTTCTCTTTTTGGACTGCTGCATCAACAGTGTTTTTGATGATTTGCAAAGCTGAAGGACACGAATTGTCGTAGAAGGTTGTGGACAGCTGAGGTGAAACAAAACCAGCAAAGAGGGAAAACATTAAGTAGAACGCCAAGCTCTCTTTTAAAGCCATGAATGCTAATTAGTGATTATATAAGAAAAGGCAGACTGAAGCTTGAGGTGGTGTTCACTACGATATTGGCTTGAAGCTCATTTGATGGGCTTTTATAGGTAAAATACGATGACAATAATTTCAAACTTGCCAAATATTATATTAGGGTTGATGCGTCATCTCTGAAAATTTGTTGGGAAAAAGTATGAATCTTGATGCAATTTTGTAGATCTCAAAATTTCAAAGTGTTTAAATTAGTTTTTTTTTTTAAATTTGTTTGAAGAAAATCTGAACTTCATTTTTGACAGATCTATAATCGATATAAATTAATGTTTTGGCTATGTGAATATAGTAACTCGGTAATAAAATCATTTCAACTGAATTAGAACTTATGATTATTTCTCTTCACAAATTTTCATATAAAAAATTTCCTATCTTCTATTAATTATTACAAATTTATCGATTTTTGTTGAATGTTAATATGATAAATTCTCTCTATCATCACAAATATTCCAACATTCAACAAGAATATTATGACATTATTATACATTAAGATAGGAGGATCCTATAAAAGCACAAAAAAAAAAAAGATAATTGTCCAAATCTTCAAGAAAAAGTAAGTACTTATAATTTGAATAAATTAATTTCTTTTCCTTCTTAAAATCTTTTTCTTCTATCAAAATGCAAATTTTATCATCAGAGCGTTCTGAAAAGTTTTGTTAATTTTTGAGCTAATTAATGAAGTTAAATGAACGAAATCAAAGGACAGAAAACTTTATTAAAACAAGATATGGAAGATTAAGATATATATAGAATTGTATCAATTACAATGTGCATCCACCTAATTTATTGGCCTATGAATATTTAGATCTTTTGACTGTAAAACTCAGACTTTTGAAGTATTTCTAAATTCTAAAGTAGCTCTGCATGCCTGACCAAATTAGATGAAAGCCACACTTAACCTCCTATTGGTACTTATACGACCATCAACTATATTAGATTAATACTGTATTGACAATGACAAATTATTCTTTTTATCTGTTTGGCTGTTAGATGAAAGGAATACATAACCTTAAAATGGTTTATCTGAATATTCTGAATTTGTAGAAGGATTATCACAATAACATTCTTCATTAATTATCATCAAAATGTTAATTAAAATAATTTTCTTGGATCAAAGCCTTTCCATGAATAAAATTCGTGCAATTATGCAATTAAGCAGATTGAGAAATTAGTGTACTAATTCTCCAGAATTAATTAGCTGCAACTAAGGGATAGAAAGTCATCAAGAGGTGGTTGCTTCAAATTGTTAATACTGTTACAGAAGGATTGATATTGCTGACATTTTTGCAATAAACAAAGTATTTAAAATGCCGTATAACTTGACAAGCTTCCATCTGTAATTATTCTGCAACTTCCGAAAGAATGTTTGGGCATGAAGGATTGGCTTCATTTATTTATTTTTTTAATTATAAACTTATATATATCTTAAATAATATTAGTGAAAATTACATTATTGTTCATATACTATTTTAAGACATTTATAAAAATGAGATTAATTTGATCACACAATTCTAACTTTTCATAACATATTGTAAGAGTCTGATTAAATTATTTGGCTAAGAATATTTGTAATATATGTTGATTATTTAAGTAATTTTTATGAATTTGTGGATTTAAGTTTTCAATTTTATGACTAATAATTATATTTTATGAGAAATGATGGCAATAATGTTAAAATTTTTTAAAAAATTTTATAATAGCCATACTTTTAAAAAGGTTAATTAAAATTTGATATTTATTCCACTACAGACTAAAAAGCTTTGTCAGAAACCAATTTGACATTGTGGCGGTTTTAACTGCCACAAAAAAATTTGAGCATTTTCAAACTGCTACAAGACCGTCATAGTTGGTGTTTACTATAAAGCTTTTTCACATCGATTTTACGACTGTTGAGAATGAGTACTAAAATGTTTATTTTAGCTGCAATTTAAACCATTGCTAATCTAAAGAAATAACGGTGGTTTAAACCGCCACATATCAGAAGACTAGCGGCAGCTTTAAATAGCAACAGTTTAAACCGTAGTTAGATCTCCAAATTAGTGGCCAAGTTTTAAAATTAAAAAAAAAATTATATTTTTTCTTATCGAGAACAATTTCAGCTCGAAATAATTGGAAATGAAATTCTTAAGCGCCTGTAAAGATGACTTACAATCAAAGAAAACGTGAGAGTGAATTGCATTTTTGTTCTCATATAGGTCATTGATTTCATTCGCCATAATAACCTAAGCAATAAGGCAACCTGTCGTCTTCAGCAATCCCCTCAAATTTTTTACAAACAAAAAAAATCATGATTGTAACATAGCCTTTCAATCAAATATGCTTGTGCCACACAACATTAGAATTTAGAAGTATCATTATAAATTCGTTGATTTAGGTCCACCTAGATGCTAGCTAATTTCTCATAACAAACTGGGTAGGGAAACATTATTATAATATAAATTTTAATAATCAAATATGTTTAATTTACCATTTGGCAGAGAAAAAGATGTATCATAGTAACTAAAAACATCACCAGAACACTACCAAAAACATGAGTTTTAGGAAACAATTTATAGTACCGTTTTGTAAACTGCCACCATAAACATATTTAGGCATCGGTTTTAACCAGTGGTAGGAACTACTTCATATTGGCGCAATCAGGTCATAGATCAGGTCGTTCCAGCTTGCCCAAGCTCTACGCTGTTTCGTCTGACCGAGCTCCATTCGGCAAGCATCGACTAGCGACCCGCTCATCCAGATGCCAGATCAATCCACCGCAATCATCAAATCCGAGGTCGTGGAGGTCATCCCTTGTAGGTCTTAGATCAGATTGTTCCTTGCCCTAGCTCCACGCTTCCTCGTCTGCCTGAGCTCCATTAGGCAAGCACCCACGAGTGACTCTCTCGTCACGATGCCAAGTCAATCCCTTGCCCAAGCTCTGTGACTAAATTTCTCTGTGCACCTGATCTGAGGTTGTAGATCAGGTCGTCCCTTGCCATAACATCATTATCTTGTTTTGCAAATTGTCAATTTTCTTGCAAATTCATTTATCTAAGATTAAACTTATAAGTTTTCTTGAGAATCTCTCGGAGAATGTGAGATTATAAGAAAATGCTATCTCTTCCTTCTCTCCTAGCCTTGAGGTGTTTGTGAGCAACCTATGGCATTGACTTTTTAATTGTTTGAATGATCTATGAACAACAAAGTTTTTCTTATACTACCCTTCACTACCTTCAACTTAATCTCCATATTGATAACCATGAAAATGAAGAAGCATATAATTTTCTCTACTCATTCCTATCATTGGGAGATGCATGTCACTTAGGAATGAGATTGTGTTTTAGGCTTCACGTTTGAGTGAGATGAGTGGCATTTGAGGAGATGTCTAATTGTTAACAATTCTTAAAGCTTTTGGTAACTAGTAATTAACATGAAAGAATTCTCACTTAAAATAGATTCAAATGAATAATCCATTAATGAGTGTCAAATGAAAGTATAAAGCTCTTATGTCTATTTTCTTTGAGCATCTTGCAACATGAAAATTTAATAAGTTTGCAGTTCGAACAAAAAATAATAGACATATGATTGCTAAATTTTTATCATTCTAAATCTACGTACTCAATTTAAGATCTATTTTTTTTTTATTTTTAAATAATCTACTGTTTTGAGAATTTATATCTTTTAGTTATTGTTTTGAAGTAGTAGCTAATTTGTGATGAAATTTCTTCTCTGTTTTAAGTTGTTGTGCTCTACGTAAGGTATTAGAAGGAATCTGTTTCTAGCTAATTTCATGAAATGGTCTACTAGGCAAGTGGATGTTGTCGTTCGATTGCAATTCCTTTGTAGTGTGTCCATTGTAACAGCCATGATTGCTAAATAGCTTTAAAGCCTCACATAGCTTTTCTATGATTGATATTCATATTGAAGGCTACAAAAGCATTTTCATTATCATGCGACTCCTTGTATGCTAAATTTTCTTAACGTAGGTAACAAAAAAATCCTATTGAGCAAAATTTCATATTTTTAAAAATTAATCAAATTACCAAGGATCGTATGTAACAACATTTTGAAGCATTAATTGAATTAAAGTACTATTTTTAGATGTTAAAATAAAATTTTAAATTGATAAAAATACTAATTTTTCAAAATTACCATACAAAAAACTCAAATAAATATTTAAAATGTTCATAATCTCAATATTTATAATATATAAAAAGTTACACGATAAAAATTTTATCAATACAAAATTATTCTTATTTTTTTATAATGGAAATACAAATTTCACTGTAAAATCCCAAAACACCAAATTATTGAAATAAAAAATAAAATAATAGTTCCATACAGTGAGACGAGCAAATCTTCGAACAGGATTGACTGGAAAAATTACTGTGTGACCTCCAAATAGTTGGATTTTCTTTCTCTCTCTTCTCTTTTTTCTCCTATTTTCATTCTTTATTAATTGATTTAAGAAGAAATGAATTTTAAAAATTTTAGAAATTGGATTAGGATATTTGATAATAAATAATAATTATATAATTTAATTAATTTTTAGTATAAAATTTGGATAATTCTTTTGGGGCTTCAAAATATATAGAAAAATATTTATAAAATATTTTCCTTTTTTTAAAAATTTTTTAGTGAAACTTATTTGCAAAAGAGACACTAGATAATTCCAAAACCCTCACTTGTATCAACATGTATACATTTTTCAAGAATTTAGACAAATGACTTAAAGTTATGGAAAAATTACTGTGATTAAATCACTATAATATCTATGTTATGATGAAGATATTTTGTGATTTGGACTTAAATTGAATCCTAAAAAAATTTATTTCATTAGGTTATTACAATGAATCATCATAAATCTCTATTAGTAGCCCTCAACCAAATATTTCCTCTTATAACCGCCATTATTAACGGCCAATCACAAACACTGCCAACCCCCACCAAATGCAACCAACCATATATCTTTAATAATCAATAAATATTAATAGATAAATTGAATCGATAAAACAAGTTAGTAATTTGCAGCAAATTTGTAGTGGACTTCACGGCAAATTATTTTTTGTCGAAAATTGCGACATATTTGTGAAAAATATTTTGATGATTTTTTTATGGTAGAATTTTCACCACAAATTTGCGGCAAAAGATTTGCCACAAATATGATGCAAACTACCCTATATAACAGATTTATTATCCATCCATTCATTTGTTCCTTCTATTCTTTAATTGCTCTCCTCCGTCCTTCGGTTCTCCTTCGACTTAGCGTCCACGCATTCTCAGCTATAATCATTAAATAACTTCTTCACCTGCTTTGATGTTTCTTCATATCACATCACCTCTTTCAACGAAGTTCCTTCCTATCGCATCCGAATGCACACCTCCTCGCCATTCTTCTGTCGCATCTGAAGTCACACCTCCTTCACCTCCCAGGAGCTTGGTCATTTTGTAAGTATCCATCTTTCTTCCTTTTGCGTGTTCTTCATCCAAATCCATAAATTTGTTGAACTCCATCCCTACCGCCAAGCTTTGTTACGAAGGTATGCTTTTTTCTAATGATATTCTTCTTGTTGATAATTAGAGAGGGAGTTGAAGGTAAACTTGAATTATAGAGGTCAATCTTAGAGTCTAATTGAAGAGATTGTGACTTTGGGCTATCAAGTCATTAATGAAGAACACATTTTAAAATATGTTGGATCTGTTGGTGATGGTAAAATAGATGGAGATATTATTAACATAATTCAAGTTGGATTGTTGAAGTGGAGGAATGCATCGGGCTTGTTATATGATAAAAAAGTTCCCTTCAAACTTAAAGGAAAATTCTATAAGATGTGGTGATACATTCAATGCTTTATGGTGTTAAATGTTGGTTATTAAAAGAGAAGCATAATATTAAGTTAAGTGTTGTAGAGATGAGGATTCTTAGGTGGATGAATGGCTTTACTCTTAGAGAAAAGATATGAAATGAGCATATATGTGAAATGGTTGGAGTAGCTCTAGTGGAAGATATGATTAGAGAGAGTTATCTTAGATAGTTTGGTCACATATGATTATTGTATGGTTGAAGTGGAGGAATGCATTAGGCTTGTTGTGTAGTTGAAAAGTCTCCATTGAACTTAAGGGAAAATTTTATAAGATGGTGGTGAGGTCTGCAATGCTTTACGGTGCAGAATGTTGGTAATTAAAAGAGAAGTATAATATTAAGTTAAGTGTTATAGAGATGAGTATTCTTAGGTGGATGTGTGTCTATACTCATAGATACATGGTATAAAGAGAGCATATACGTGAAAAGGTTGGTGTATATCCAATGGAAGATAAGACTTAAAAAGAGCCACATTAGATAGTTTGGTCATATATCATTATCGTATATCTAGATGATATAAGATTTTATGTATTTTTTTTATGATGCCAATTTTACATAAATAACATTAAATTAATGCAAATCTCATTATTTGGTTGTAGGAATTTATAGCACAAGTGTGTTATGGATATTCAAAATCATAAAAGTTAGATGTCTGACCAACTGTTAATTTGACGCAAAATGTTAACATATAAATTTTTGAACGGAGTGAATTTTTTCATCTAGGCAAGATGTTAATTACCTTCTTTTATATTAGAAGAAAGGTTTCGTTGTATATATTCTAAACATAAAAATTAAGCCTATCTCACACCAGATAAGATTACTTGTTATTTATATCGCAGAGGATATGATCATGCCAGAATATTTGTATTGAACTTCACATGATAAGCATGAGCCTCATTGTCATCTTCCTCTACATCATAGACATATCTAAAGAATATTCATCCATAATTAAAGTAAGAATAATCACCCTAAACCCTTGTACACAACCCTTAATCTCAAATTAGGTTCTCTTTCACCTTGTCTTATCCCCCCCTCCCCCTCAATTTAAATGCATAAACCTTATAAGCATATATCAAAAGCTCCTATTCTTAATTTTATATTATAAGATAACCCTTCATATTTATTTTCCTCCATTTATCCTTTATTAAACTCATCCTCTAAAGAGTTAAACTAAACTAGCCCAAACTAGTTCAAACTGAGCTAATCCATACTTTTCTATGTCATGCCCCTCAAAACCTCTCTCCATTTTACCAAAAACTTCAAATCATTTCTCCAAAATATAAAATGATTATCCATAATAATTATATTCTTCAATCTCATTCTTAAGCCTCCTACCATTATCAGGTAGCGGAACTAAAAAATTAATTAATCCTTTATGAGGTCCAAAAAATTAAATGGAGAGTAGCCAAATACCATAATTAAAATACTCATGATAAAATGTCTCAATTAGGAGATCAAGTCCTTAAACAAGCGGATCTTGCAACTTGTCAATCAATACTTAATAGGAAATTAGCTTTATATTGGAAGGGCCTTGGCCCTAGAGCATGTCAACTTTAAACACACTCATGGAAGAAACTCTTAATAATGTGAAGTAAAGATGACATAAAGGTCTTTTATTCTTAAAAGGAAGAATATTTTTTGTTTATACTTTTTCTTTATAAATAAGTACTACTTCTCAATGAGGATCTAATCAGCTCTTTTTTTTTTTAATTACTTTAATTTTTATTTTATTTTGAAACTAGTGTGAGTTTAATAAGAAAGATTAGGGAACTCATTAACCTATTCAGGCCCATGGATTTAATGAATAAATTATGGGCATTGATGAGTTCAAGTAAAATCGAACATAACTCAAAGAACTCACACCTCAAAATAACTCAGGGAACTTACTTCATAGCTGAATTTAATGAGGATGAGGGAAGGGGAAATATGAGAAAAATACTAAAATCAAGTCAGAACTTGGCATGAAACTCAAGTACGATCCACTTGAAAAATCTAAAATCAGCATTGTTAGAGGCTTTTGATAACATAAAAGGCCACTTTAGGTGCACTCCAATATTGGTTACACTAATTTCAAGCAAACATTTGATATTATAAATGATTTAGCTTAATGAGGCATTCAGTGTCCTCTTTTACCAAGAGAATGAATATGGAAAATAAAGTTTCAAAATTTACCTTATCTGATGCTTGATTCCAATAGAGTTTAATATACAGTCATAGAGAAACATTGCACATCATTGATATTTTCAATATAGAAGCTATGAAAGTACGCTCTTTTATAGAAGATCAACATCATCTCTCAAATTAAATCTTTATAATATTTGATGAAAAACTAATTCCATCAACTTAACAATAGTAATGGGTGGTTTCTTATCTTATAGTTCTATCTCTCCAAGTAGAAAACCTTTGTTTCTATTATATTCTCTAAAAAGTTTATACTAATAATTAAGTTGGATACGAAGATATGATAACAGACATAGTGTTGGTTATTTGGAGGGAATCCAACAAGTTAACCCCTTAATTATTACAAATTAGTTATCAACCAAGTGGCGAGAGTTTTGAGGTATTAGCTTGAACTTCTGCTATATAATAAATGAGACATATAACTCATTTGTGTTATCACCATTGTGACCTTGATTAGAGTTCCCTATTGTGATAAAGGCAAAGTGGATGCAGTCGCCAAGCCAGCTGAATAAAAGATGAATCTCATTGCCTAAATAGTGTTACTATCCAACACCATAAAGTGTTGTCTCCAAAAATAAAAAATAAAGAAAAAAAAATAAAGTGTTGTCTCCTAGAAAGTTCCCAATCAAACCTTCACAATCTTTTTTTTTTTTATTAAAACCCACTGATGGGCTTACGCGTTGATATTAAAAAAAGGTACAAGGTCCTTAAAGGGACCTCCAGCTCACCACTGCTCCAAAGAGCTACAATCAAAGCAAAAAAGAAAACTAAGAGCCGGAAGTCCCTTCTAAACAAAATAACATAGTACCCTAATAACATTCTACAAACAAAAACTGAAAGGGAAAGATAAATCTCATTCAGCACCGCCCTTCCCATCACAATAAGGTCCTGCACAAAACTAGAGCGAGTCTCCAAAAACCTACTTTAGAGGCCCGCAAGGACACTAAACAAAAAAATTAAGAACAAGAAGAAGATAAAAATAAAATTTATAAAGTTTGGCCCATTGGTTAAACTCCAATGTAAGAGGAATTTCTACATATTCCTATGAAAGGAAATGATATTGATTTTAAGATAGCATTTGTGAACCCCATGGTTAACAACCAATATCATCAATAAACAATTGATACCAGGCATAAAATCCCCCAAAAAACACCTCAAACTTTAAATGCTCCAACCCAACCAATAAATATTCCAATTCCAAATATTAGTAAAAGACAAGCCACATTGAATCAAGTTCCAACGAATCAAAATACAATAAAGATTAGCCTCTTTTAAAGGATTCAAATAAGCCACATCATTATTAGCTTCCTCTATATAAAACTGCACATACCAGTCAGAATTGTAGCCAGGGGTAACCAGAACATTGTAGTAGAACAAAGTGGCATACAAATAAACAGAAGGATAATTATACACATAAAAAATGAAGCCGAAAGCAGCATTAGTACAGGAGGTCGTATCCTTACAGTTCCTGAAGCAAATCAGATAAAAATTCTGGAGATTGGGCCAAAGATCAGCCAGTAACTTGCCTTGACTAACAGGAAAGACCATGAAATAAAAATTAAAAAGAACTAAAGGTAGTGAGATTGAACATCCAGGTTTCCTACTCCCCAAGAGCAACCACCAAACAAAAATGAAGCCCTGAGGGGTGGATCTAGTGAGATTGAACATCCAGTTAGTGTTATTACTCATGCAACCATAACAGGTAAATATATAATAAAAACACTTGACATAATGTCTCAAAGTAGTATTAGCCATGAAAGAAGACTTGGACATCCTAAGACCGACAAGAACCAAACTGCTCAGCAAAACTAACATGATATATGCATCAGTCCAGAAAAAGTCATCAAGAGCCTAGCTAAAAAAATATTCAGCTAAATGCACACAGTAGATAAAAAACCAGTAGAAAAATAATAAGACCAAATAAAAACAAAACCAGCTGCTAATCATAAAAAAAATGAAAAACCAAGAACACCAAAATAGAAGGACCATGATTTAAACCGAATATATGGGAGACCCAAATGATCTAATCTTGCCAAACCTTTGATCTCTTTAGGTAAATAATGCTCATTATAATTGGTGAAACCACGTAAATTGCAACCCATTTTGGCTAAAGCATCGGTAACCGCATTACCCTCTCTCAGAATATGGGAAATAGAGTAATTAAT